GCTTATTCTGCAATATCATTTTGTTGTTACAGTGGCTTTTAAAGATGAACAGATCATTTTCGGAGGGTGAAAACCTCGCTCGACCGAAGTACGGTTGCGCTTGTAGACTGAGAAATCCATCTTCGACTCCGGAAAGTTGCAATCGCAGAGTTTTCCCGAGTCTCACGGAAGTTCGTCTGCGAGAATCTGGGCTAGCTAATTTATCAGATTCCGAAGAGAGCAGGTGAGTTGGAAACTTGATGCAGCATTCGATCGTACAATTAATTGTCGAATAATCTTCATTTTCAGAGAGAATCTAAGCGAGCTAGAACTGCAGGTAAATAAACCACGTCCAAAATATGAAAATTACATTATTTCAGCGGATAATTAATATTATACGATATTGTTCCTGTTGTAGAAAAAGTACACGGCGTTCGCGTTGTGTCTTTCTATAGACAGATTGACCCTACCGCGAAGGATAGCGATGTCGTGTCGGCAACGCGATCAATCCGAGAGAAATCTCTCCTGCGAAGTGCGGAAGATGCAGCAGGACATTCAGGCAAGTGACCACGAAAATATCTTGTCGTTTATTAATCCTTTTCTCGAGCAATTGTATTACAATAGAGAACGCAGAGCCTTCGGCTAAATCGGCTGAAACGCGTCTGAATTGTATCCGCGTGGCATTTGCCAGTTAGTAGTCGTTCTCCGTGGTTCGTTGAAGGGATTGAATTTTGCGTAACGTCAGGAACTCGCGCCACTATGCACGGACAGGGAATCCGCGGAGCGGGTGGAGCGGGTCAGGCATCAATTGGACATGATTGTGCGATGTGCGCACTGGGTATCCTGCGCGGCCGAGACCTTAGGCGCCGTGCACCAGGAGCGTAGGGTTTCCCGGGCCGTTCAGCTGGCCGACAAGTATGTCCATGCGTTGCAGTCCCAGTGCGAGAAGCTGACCGCCAACGTCGCCGAGACTAAGTGAGGGTCAGATTTATCACCTCCCCTTATTCGCTGGTCGTTCGTTCAATTTTATATTTTGAGCTTTGATGTTGCATCAGCTTTCAAAAATATGATATTCACGTCTTCGGTCTTTTATCTGTCGTGAGTAAAAAAACTTTCAGAGGCCTTGCCTTTTCCGATAGAGATCAATTAATAGTCGGATAGTGTTCGGGATAAATATTCTTGGTGAAAAATTTGTAATAGCGTTCGATGTTACGTTCTCCCTCCTTCGTTTTCGTAACAATGAGACGGTATCAGTGATAGTGCACGCTGTTCGTTTCCAGACGGTTCCTGGCAGATAACAACATAGCGATGGAGGAGAACTTTGGCGAGCTCAACGATGAACATTCTCGCATCAGCAGGAACAGTATACTCGCCAATAATCGTATGGTATTGGTTCGGAAATACTGGAGGATCACGTTCATTGCTTTCTTTCGCCAGCTTATCATTGCACGTTAGACATTCATCATATCTCGTCTCGCACCTTCCGTCGCGGTCGCTTCGTTGTCGTACCTCGCACATTCGCACAACTTCGCAGGGATTTTTTTAACGCGCTCACAGCTTGCACTTTCATTTTTTTTTCTTGTTTAATTTCGTTCTGTCGATTAATCGGTATGTTTTTTTTCGTCAATTTTTCTTTCTAGAAAGAAGCTAATAGGAGAAGAGCCAGCGTGGCCACGATGTCTCGGCCGATGGGCAGTATGCAGGATGTGACAAAGGCAATTTGTTTTAGCTTTGAATTTTTGCTTTTACAGCTTGGTATCTCAACGGTGTTGTCCTCTTACGTTCTGCATTACTAACACAATAACGCGCATAACACGATTGCCTGTTTACTTTCCCTTTTTTTTATATTGTCTATATATCTTGCTTTATGCTCTATATAGGAGATCGTGAGACAGCGAAATTCCGTTTCCGGACGCATGACTCTCAGGAGACCGTCCTTCAGCTCTGAATGCCCGAAGGAAATTGAAAAACTGAATCATACCGAGTTAGTAATATTATTATTGACTTGGATCTAGATAGGTTGAGCTAATAGTTGAAACATCTGTTAGATAATGTTAAAAAGCTATTAATATATTTAATATATTTAATTTAAAAAAATATATAATTCTTGCGTATACATTGGATATTTTTTAAATATTTGTCAACAGAACTTCCAACAATATCGGCGAATTACGGGGTATCTTCGAGCAGACCGAGTCTCGTCGTAGCTCGAGAGAAGAAAATAACGACGTGCTACGACTGAGTCATTCCAACAATAGCCAAAGTGCAATAAATTGTGGAATAATCGAGAACGAGGTTTGGACGAACGGAAAGGAGATCTCTCCCGAGCTTTCCGACAACGAAAATATTAATTCTGATCGTAAATCAATGTAATCATTAATTTCTCTTTTATTTTATCTAGTCATTAACATAAGAGAGAGATTGTTCCTTTTAACATTATTTCTTTTTTTTAGCACAAGATCGTCTTTCCAAGTAAAAAGACGAAGAAGAAGAAGACAATTATCAATATGGCATATAATGTTGACGAGTATTCTTATTTTCTGCCTCATTCTCTACGTGATTCAAGCGTTGTCGATAGTAAGCACTTGCCACGAATCGTTGAACGAATGGTTGATCAGAGGCGTTTTCGATAGATACCGTCAAATGAGGAGCACGGCGCCTCATCCGATGTGATTTCATTGATGTTCGCGCGGTCTGGTTAGCTGTACCAGTAAAATAAGTAGCAAGACTAAGTGTACACTGTAACGTATGTCAATTAATAGAAAGGCTGAATAAATTAATAATTGCAGTAGTTCGTTTCGCGCCTTGTCTAACGAGGTCGCGCCGCAGCCGCGAGTGCCGGGATTGTTTTCGATTCCCTCCTGCAATTGCGTTTGTATCATGTCTTCGGAAATGACAAATTATGCAAATTCTCTTGCATTGCCGTGCGAAATAAATTTAATTTCTCTTTCGTCGATTATTAATGTTTAACGCTACGATAAAACTCATATTTTCGTTCAGTGTATCAATAAATGTTGTTGATCAATATCCATTTGCGCTGAAGGTGTACACGTATGATTGAATAATACATTTATTTATTAATACAAAGAAAAAATGTTTTATCAGTTTATATTATCGAACCCGCATACGAAAGAACCAATTTATCTCTGCGCGAAATGCAAGGTACGATTCACGCTTCTCACTTCCGACATTCGTCATTCAACGTGGTTGCAACAAGAGGGTTATCTACGGCACTATATTATATTTGCATAAGAAAAAACAGTATGATTATAACATTTTCATGTCTTCGCCGAGAAATTTTAATGGGACATTTGAGAACCGCGAAATTTTTTGTTTTAAACGTCAAAAAATATTCGGGGATATTGTATTTATTATCAACTGTTATTTTAAAAAATAAGAAGTTTTAAATTTTAAAATGTTTCGAAATATTCAGAAAGATATATTATTAATAAAGAAACCAGGAAAAATCAAACGTAACTTGATGCGAGGATTCTTGACTTGTTTTAAATTTTATTTTATTTAAGCAACAACTTTCCTTCTCTCCTCTCTCTATCATATTGATAAGACTAATTATGTAAGGGTTTTCAGAGTGGAAGACAAGAAACGCTGAGAGGCAGAAAAACATAAAAAAATTATTTTTTCATTGCTTTTCGTATTCTTTAGAAGACAGAGAAGAGATCTTTAAAGATAGAGGTTTTTCATGGAAATTCATATCGTTAAAATTTAGCTTGTAATTGTAATATTAATTTTATATAATAATAATTTTACGATTTATTATATTTTTTATTATCCTAATATTTCATAGACGTTGTGTGTGTGTATACATATATATATTTACTTAAGACTCGATAACATTTGATTTTTATTTTTAACTGCTCTCTCATCGTTATCGTCTAGTTTGATTATTCATGCGTTAATTGTAAAAAAAATGTACACATGTCATTTTTATTTTCTTATCATGAATTATCGTTTTGCTCGGAGTCACAACACTTCTGCTTTATCTACATTTATTTCAGTGAAAGTTCTATCATAAATCGATAATACACATGTGGGAAATTACCAGCGTCTGAAGATTTATCGACCGTCTGTGCATTTTTCCGATGAACGCGCAACATCACCGCATTATTCGCATCTTCAGCGTGCACTTCCGTCTCGCTCGCGGTTGTTTTAAATTTTCAATTTGCAAATATTGATAATTTTTATTCAAAGTTCACAAAGGTCATGTTTCGATGTCTGTCGAGTATATTCGAGTAATCGCGCGAGTGTCGAAATGCGAATCGGACGTTGCGAGTTGCGGGTTGCGCGGGGTGATGGATGCCCCTCTCGGATCAGCTGGCTGCGACCGTCCTTGAACGACCGACGCAGCGATGTGATAACAGAACAATCAAGTGTGTTATCGATGATAACGTAACACTTGCGAAAATCAAGCGTCGCGAATACACCGACAGCGAATCGTGACAGACGCGTTTTGCCGAGTGATAATTCATTTGCGGACGTTACGAGAGCTTTACGATGTAAGAAAAATCACTTTTTCTTTCGTTTGTATGCAATAAAATGACGGAGCCTATTGTTTTGGTATATCAAAATAATTGGCCTGTGCTTTTTAGCTGAAAACTTCTTGCGCAGTTCATATTTTCT